ACAAGTATGCAACCCTAAAAGGATAATACACTTTATGAGCTACCCCACTAATTTTATTTCAATAAGGTAATTGATATACTACACCAACACAGCAAGTGTAGATGATAAAAAACAGTCATGATGCATGAGAGGTTTAGGGTTTAGGGCCGCCTCCGATGTGGTTTCTATGGAGGACAGTGGTTTGGCTCTGGTAACTGCCAGATGGCAGCGAAGGCACTGTTCCATTGCAGTTGTTGTCTGTTAGTCTGCTTAGCAGCCTTATCTCCTCCCTTGCGCGCCAAAATCTGCCCTTCCGAGCCGAGCAGCACTCCCGCTCCTTCCATTGGGCATCCCTCGCCCGAGTGTAAATCCTTGCATGTTGGCGAAAGACAGTTTCAATCTGCCGCATTACCCCCCTTTTTCGGATTTTTCGCCCCCTGAAATCGGCCTCGCAGCGCTCCAGCCACATCCGATGGATTTTGATGGCAGTAATTGTCAATTCTGGGAAAGCTGAGCTGCAGCTTGGCTTTTGGGAGAGCAGGCCCCCAAAGCAGGCCCCCCAAGATGAGACGGTTTGCATTGGATCTATCATGCAGAGGGCCCTTTTGAGCAAGGAATGTTACTGCTTGATTTTCGGGCAGCTAAATAGCCAGTGTTCCGAAGTCTCCTCCCCCCTACAGTGGGGACACATCGGCTTGCTGCTTAAAAAGGCCAGCCGCTCCCCCACTTGTAGATTTAGGTTGTGAACCTGAAGCAGACGTCCCTGGGGCGACTGGGGGCAGTGAGAGAATCCCAAGTGGCTATTACCCTTTTCCAGTTAATACGCCATTCCATCTGCCTGACCACTGCTCCTGCCCCTTCTTCCACACTGCCTCCAGCTGCTTCATCAGCACAATCCGCCCTTTGCCGAAGATGGGGAGGTGAGTGAGACTGCGCCCATGGGTGGTGTACTGTCGCTGATGGGAGCCTGCCGAGCTCGGGTTGGTACTCACGCACTGGGACCCATCTTGCAGTAGAGCCCGCCAAGTAGGGGGAGCAGCTTCGAAAGCCCGCAGGGCGAGCTTTGCGGGACCCTTATTACCTAGCTCCCTCGTCAAGGTCGCCATGTCTTCGAGGGCGGAAGAACCGTCATAGTGTAGCTGAGCAGGTTCCCCAACCGAAGCTCCCAAAGCCGCTTTGCATCTTGTCCCCCCACAAGTGTCGTTCCTTTCAGGAGAATCCACTTATTGAAGACCTGCCGTTGGCATGCAACTGCCTCCGTGGCGTTCACCTCCGGCAGAGTTCCAAGTGGCGTTTTTCATGAAGTTCTCGCACGCTATCTCCCAGTGAGCTCTCCTCCCTTCCCAGTGGCGCAGTAGTTTTCGTGGGCGAAGAAAGATTCTATGCTCATAAGAAGCTCGCCCTCATCATGATGTCCAGCTCCAATTGATTTGTTTTCGTTGCCAACAGACCCATTCTTCTTGCAACGAGGCAAGCGAGGATCATCTCCGGATCGTGCACCCCTACCCCGCTAAGCTCCTGTGGGGTGTGTACTAACTCCTTGCTCCAGAAGGTGAAACATTTTTCCGCCGCTGCTTTATTCCCAGAGACAAAGTTTTGGAATGTCTTGGAGGGGGTTTTCCAAGTATTCGCCGGTGGGGCGTATACTTGTGCTTGGAAAGCAACCACTGGCATCAAGTACCAGTTTACCACTACTGTTCTTGCCACTGTTGGGAGGAACTTCTTTTGCCATTGCTTGAGCTTTCATGTGATGCTCACCTCCGCTTTTTCCCATGTTGGCGAACAACTCCCGGAAGGTGTTATCCATACTCCTAGTAGTCTTTCCGTGTCGCCTCCTTCCGCCCACTTGAAGCTGTTGGGAGTGTGGACCAATGTTGTTCCCCAACGGTAGGATCACTGATTTGTCTATGTTGGTCGCAAGTCCTGAAGTGGGCTCCAATTTCTCCCGTATCTTTTTAGCTTTGATGATCTGCTCCTTTCCTTCCAAGATCCACGTGGTGTCATCCGCGAAGCCAGTATGCGAAAGCCGTTGCTCCGCTTTGCTGAGTTCCAGCTTCTTTTTTAGAACCTCTTGTGCCAAGGGCTCCACGGTACACAGAAGCAGGTACAGGGCGAGGGGGCAACACTGCCGGACCCTCGAGATTACTTCCACGCCTTCTCCTATCCATCCATTGACCAGTAATCTCGTCCTTCTCCCTTTGTGCGTGTTATAGACACAGTAGTGTCGGAGAACCTTCCTTCTCCCAGCCCATGCTCTCATCCCTGCAACCTGCTCTTCTTCTTATCACTTCCTCAACGTCCTTCTCCTAACGATGAAAGAGTCTCCTCCCTCACCCCGTAGGTCCTCCCCTAGTGGCGTGCCACCGGATGCTAGATCTGAGGTAACAGCTTTCACTAATATGAGAGAATAACAGTAGAAAAGCAACGAGGGGTTGGGAGTGAGAGACCTTACCCTTCCCCTGGCTGCACATTTCCAAATGTGCGGCTCGGGGTTGGGATTCCTTGGTTTCACCTTTCGCCCTTCGGTGTCTTTTCCCTCCTAATCCAACCGCTCCTATCCCGTTTCCCCCCCCTTTCTACACCCCTCTCTAACAGCTGCTTCGCTACCATTTAGACCTATAGCTCATTCCTATCTCATACTATTAGAACTATCTATCCTGTTCATGGTTGCAACCGAGAGCCCTGCCTACACCATCATCCTACTGTTATTGCATATGCATTAGGTACATATGCGGTGACAGCTGTCGGAGAACCTTCCTTCTCCCAGCCCATGCTCTCATCCCTGCAACCTGCTCTTCTTCGTGTCACTCCCTCAACGTCCTTCTCCTGACGATGTTGATTAGCCTCAGCCACTACCTGCCCCCTCCTGTGCCCGTGCTCGGGCTGCCTGAGCTCGGGTAACAGGACCATGCTGCTGAGGCCCGGTTCCTTTGACTACTACTGTGTTGCTCTGATGCGCCTTCACCGGTACTTCTTTCTCATCCTCCAGCACCAGCACCCCAGCTTCACGCGCCTCCTTCACGCTCCTCCACCCTGCCTCGCGACTCTCTGCCCACGCTTCCACTTGCCTGCGCATTCCCTCCCTCCACCATTCCTTCTTCAACAGCTGCCCCATCCTCTCGTGTTCAAGGTGCCCCTGCTTGGTGTGCACTTCCTTGATTACTGCCTTCCTCTCGCCTGGAGCGGGCATCACCCTCCATCTATCCTCTTTCTGTCTCTGCAGCTCCTTTTCACACAACTTGTAGTGGTGCCCCCCCCCCTCACTCGCCCTCTCTCTGTCACTGCCTCTTCTCCTTCAGTTCCCCCCCCCTTCTGCCACTTCATGGCCTGCTCATCCCTCAAGATGTTCGCTGGTTCCCCAATCTCCTGGGCCTCATTCTGCGCCACCTTCTTTGTCACCAGCTCTCTAATTCTCCCTTTGCATATCTCCTTGTCCTCCGGCGGCCTTCTCCTCCTTCCGTGGAACACCAGTTCGCCGCTGCTCTTCAGCTCCCTCTGCTTTACCGTGCCCTTACCCCTCTCCTGTAGGCAAAGCGCCTCCTGTGTTTCGCTAGCATTGCCGACATCACCTTCTTCCCTTCTTCGCTCCTTGTCTCTCCCACCCTCCACTCTGGACTCTCCTCTTCCATGCTGGAACCAGGCTCCTTGTGGGACCGCTGCTGCCTCTACTTTCCCTCCAACCTGCACCCGGCCCTGTACTGCCTCCGATCTCATCATCTGCTCATCTATTGCGTTCCCCTAACGCCCTCCTTCCGTCCAGTTTAGTCACGCCTGGGGCTGCCGTGATGTTCTCTCCATTCCTCATGGCTAACTCTCGCTCCAAGCCCTTCTGCCCTCCTTGGGATCATACTCCATACCAGGTCCCGCCCTCCCTTCTTTGCTCTTTCCGTCTGCCCCTTCATCCGTGACCCGTGCCGACGGTGCCTGCGTTTCCTGTCCCACCCGATGACGTGGGTAAAGCTTGCTGTAGCACCTCCTAGTCGCTGGCGCTGGTGTCCTTGCTGGCTCTAAAATGTCCTGCACCTTCATTCCCCACGCCCTTCTCACACCGTCTATGTCCTCCTGCAGACCTTGAGCGGGCACCAAGTTCTGCCAGTATGTCCCGAGCAGACAAGCGCGTGCCCCCACCCTTACCGTGTCATCTCTCCCCCCTTGTCCCATCTGCTGCATGATCCTCTCCCTCACCGGTCGTGTGGGCTCTGGGCTGTCCCCCCTTTTAGTTTATAAATTCTACTACACTATGCTGCCCTGCCTCTCCTGCAGCATTTCATGATTTGAAACCGGTTCTCTAACTGCTCCGTGCGAAGGCCCCTTTCTCCCAGCCCCCTCTCTGCTCGAGAAACACCCTGGCACTCCCACCCTGCTACCATAAATCCGCCTGCCCCCAGCTTGCCACTTCCGCCTTTGTCACGTCCTTCACAACAGGATCCCGTCTCCACATCGCCTCTTGCACCCCTTCCCTGCTCGACAATTCTAGGGACTTCTCCTACAGCCGCCACCCGGCATGGTGCTCTGCCATCTTCTTCACGACGGGCTCCCTTTCCAGGTAGATCCACTGCTTTACTGCGATCCCATGCCTTGTCACTTCTGCCAGCCCTGCTCCTATCCCCCCCAGAGGTAGACTCCTGTCCTACTCCTTCTCCTGCCCATGTTCTGCTGCAGCCGCTGCTGCCGCCCGGCTGCAGCCGCTGCACTGGCCTGTGTGCATCTCTCAGCTGCACTGTACGCAAGTTCTCCCGTGCTGCCGGCAGTACTTCCTTTAGGTACTTTGCCCTGGATTCTACCCGTGCCACGCAATTCTCAATCCCTCCTATTCCCACTGTCTGCGTCACGAGTGTGACTTCCCTCCCCTGCCCGCTCATTGCCCCCCCCACCGTCCACTTAGCTCCTTCCTTCGCCGTCCAACCTGCCCATACTCCCTCCTTCTCATCCTCCACTCCCGCCTCTGCTGCTGCTGCTACTTTCTCTTCTTTCCCTTCCTCTTCTGCTGCTGCCGCTGCACACGCCTATGCCCCCAACTTCTATTCTTTCCCTTCCTCTTCTGCTGCTGCTGCTGCACACGCCTGTGCCCCCAACTTCTCTTCTTTCCCTTCCTCTTCTGCTGCTGCTGCTGCACACGCCTGTGACCCCAACTTCTCTTCTTTCCCTTCCTCTTCTGCTGCTGCTGCTGCTGCACACGCCTGTGCCCCCAACTTCTCTTCTTTCCCTTCCTCTTCTGCTGCTGCTGCTGCACACGCCTGTGCCCCCAACTTCTCTTCTTTCCCTTCCTCTTCTGCTGCTGCTGCTGCACACGCCTGTGCCCCCAACTTCTCTTCTTTCCCTTCCTCTTCTGCTGCTTCTGCTGCACACGCCTGTGCCCCCAACTTCTCTTCTTTCCCTTCCTCTTCTGCTGCTGCTGCTGCACACGCCTGTGCCCCCAACTTCTCTTCTTTCCCTTCCTCTTCTGCTGCTGCTGCTGCACACGTCGGTGCCCCCAGCCTCTCTGCCTTGCTTTCCGCTTCCGCTGTTGCTGTCATGCCCGCCTGTGCCCCCACCTTCCCTTCCTTCCCTTCCGCTTCCGCTGCCACTGGTACACCCGACCAGTCCCCCACCTTCTCGTTCTTCCCTTCCGCTTCCGCCGCTGCTAGTACACACGCTCCTGCCCCCACCTGCTCGTCCTGCTCCTCTGCTTCCGCCGCTGCTAGTACACACGCTCCTGCCCCCACCTGCTCGTCCTGCTCCTCCGCTTCCGCCGCTGCGAGTACACACGCTCCTGCCCCCACCTGCTCGTCCTGCTCCTCCGCTTCCGCCGCTGTTAGTACACACGCTCCTGCCCCCACCTGCTCGTCCTGCTCCTCCGCTTCTGCCGCTGCTAGTACACACGCTTCTGCCCCCACCTGCTCGTCCTGCTCCTCCGCTCCCGCTGCTGCTGGTACACACGCTCCTGCCCCCACCTGCTCGTCCCATTGCCCACTCCCAGTCCTGAGGTCTGGCCTACCAGCCCGTCCTGCGGGTGGCGTGCCACGAAGTCCTTCGTTGTCCGCTCCTCTACCTGCTGCCCCCTTCTCTCCTCCCATTTGTCGGTGCTCCTGCCGGCCGTCCTTCTTTCCACTCCGTCGTCCCATCTCTTCCCTTCCCCACCAGGCCATGAATGCGCGCTGCACATACTGCTCTACTTCCCCGTCATCCTTATCCCTAGCGCTCGTTCATGCCTCTGCTTCCCGCCTTGGTCTGAGTGCCGACAGCTGTGCTTGCAGCCTGATGAGCTCCTGTTCCAGCTCTTCCCGGTTCCCCTTTGCTGTCCCCTCCCGCTGGTAGCCGTCCTTCGCCTCACTTCTCTTCTTGCTGTAGCTTTCACACCACGATGCATCTGGGCACTCTCTCCTCCAGTGTCCCAGCTGTCCGCATCTGTAGCAGGTCCTGTTGCCTGCCCCACCACCCCCTCGCCCCTCTGATCTTCCCCTATCTTCAGATGTCATTGCTGCTGCCCATGTCGGTTCATGGCTCCTCTCTGTCGTTTGCGACCGGTACGCTTCATACTTCGCCTGCGAAAGCTCCATCTTCTCCGCTAACTGGAACACCTCATCCAGTGTCGCGTCTGCCCCCAGTTCGTACACCTTCATTCGCCGCCCATTGCCCACGCCTGCCGGCTCACATTTAAGTCTTCCCTGCTCTTCTTTATCTCGTGCTCTCTCCATCCCTTCCCTTGCCTCCCTCGCTCGCTCTGCGATATACGCCGAGTTCCTGCTTCCTCCTTTGCTTCCACTCGACTCCCAACCCGTTTCCTTATGCAGGTTCCATCGGCTGCTTGCATCTCGTCTTCCGCGGCGATCCACTCCCTCTCTTCGTAGGGGGCTTTTCAGTCGCCGTGTTCCCGCGCTGCCCGGGTGCGCTCGTCCCTCCTCCCTTCGCTGATCTGGGGAGAACTCCTCCCTGCACTCTCCTGAACACCCGTCGGCTTGCCCTCTCTGCTGGTCCAGCGAGAGCTTCTCCCTTGCCCACTCGTCCCGTCTTCCTCCGCGTGGCCGATGCAGATCTGACGAGCGCGACCGCTCGCCACGCCTCGCTCCGCGCTGCCGACGAGGATAAGGCGAGCGCGACTCTCGGTTTCGCCCTCCTCCGCGCTGCCGACGTGGATCAGGTGTGAACTCGTCCCCGCGCACTTCCTGTTGCACCTCCGCCCGCCCCCGCTGCTGCTCTGATGAGCGATTCGTCTTCTCACGCCGCTCCTGCTTCCCGCATCGGCGCCACTCCAGGTTATACCCATATTCCTCCCCTTCACTATACTCATGTTCCTTCGCTTCACACAGCTCCTCCTCACTCCTTCTCGTCTTCTCCTTCCCTTCCTTCCTCTCAGGGGAATCTTCTTGACACCGCCTCCCTCGGCGCCCATGATCTTCTCTTACCCCTCTCTTGGCACTTCCCGAGTCCTCTCTTGGGGACACGTCTCGCTGGCGGCGCCCTGGCTCACCCCTTCTCCTGTCTCTCTCTCTCTCTTGTCTCCCCCTTGCCTCTCCGTCAGGTTCCCGCACCAACCCTGCTCTTGCGCACGGGTCCTCTTTTATTCCTTTACGGCGCGCTCTCGTGTCCGCCCCCGAGATGTCCTGCGACAAACACTCACTGCCCCTAACACGCGCTTCCCCCTCCTCCTTCCGCTGCCCCCTTTCCTCTCCCCGCTGCTCTGGTGATCGCCAACCGCCAAACGCCATGCGCCTCCTGCGCTCGTGTCTGCGCCTCGGTTCAGGCGAGCCATCCACTACCGCCTGCGCGCCTCGCCTCCTCTCTTCCTCGCGGCTGGCTTCTGGCGCGCGCTCAGCCTCCTTGCCTTCGCCGCGCCGCGCATTACTTCTGCGCCACCTGCCTGGCGAGCAATCTGCATCCGCGTTCCCGCGCCGCTTCGCTCCGTCCTCGGGCATTTCGCCCGCCGAACCGTCTGCATCCATGCTCCCACGGCGCTTCGGGCCATTTCCGCGCATTTCGACCATCGAACCTTCTGCATCTGCGCTCCCGCGGCGCCTCGCGCTGCCCCCACCCCTTTCCTCCGCTGCACGACTTGCATCCGCGCTTCCGATGCGCCTTACGCTGCTCTCACGCATTTCGTCCGCCGATCCGTCAGCATCCGAGCTCCCGCGGCGCCTCGCGCTTCCCCTGCTCGTGTTCCCGCTACGCTTCGTGCCGCCTCCGCGCATCCCTACCGGCGGCGAGCGAGTTTTCCGCGCCCCCAAGATCTCATTTGCTTCTTCCTCGCCGTCGGCCTCGCTTGCCGAATCCGACGAGTCCACCACGTCCGCGTCGTCGCGACGCCTTCCACCATCTCCTTGCTGGCCGCGTGCCAGATTCCAAGGGCCGCTACTGGACGGTTGAGGCCTGGGCTCCGATCCCGCGTGCAGATCGTCCTCGCCTCCACCTCGACGCCCTTAAATGTGCAGATCCGCGCGGTCCGCCGCCCTCCTTGGCGACCACTCCGGCGATCTTCCTCGCTCCTGCGAGCGCATCCTCCGAGACGGTGGTATTTCCCGAAGCGAGTACGTCCGCTGCCAGCACAGCTCGTGGCAGTCTGGCTTTTCTACTGTTATGAAAGAGTCTCCTCCCTCACCCCATAGGTCCTCCCCTAGTGGCGTGCCACCGGATGCTAGATCTGAGGTAACAGCTTTCACTAATATGAGAGAATAACAGTAGAAAAGCAACGAGGGGTTGGGAGTGAGAGACCTTACCCTTCCCCTGGCTGCACATTTCCAAATGTGCGGCTCGGGGTTGGGATTCCTTGGTTTCACCTTTCGCCCTTCGGTGTCTTTTCCCTCCTAATCCAACCGCTCCTCTCCCGTTTCCCCCCCCCTTTCTACACCCCTCTCTAACAGCTGCTTCGCTACCATTTAGACCTATAGCTCATTCCTATCTCATACTATTAGAACTATCTATCCTGTTCATGGTTGCAACCGAGAGCCCTGCCTACACCATCATCCTACTGTGATTGCATATGCATTAGGTACACATGCGGTGACAGTAGGCTTCAATGTGCCTAAAACGAAAGATAGAGTGGACAGTCGGATTTCTGCACAGCGGCTTTAAACGTTCATAGCGATCTGGTCACGGCTTTAAATGACCTGATTCAAATGGGATCTGGAGCGTCTTAAAGTCGCCTACAATAGGCAATTTAGATCGCACGATTTCATCAAGTATTGACGACGAAACGTCGGTTCGAACGAACGGCACTATGGCAGCCACTATAGTCTTAGAACACAAGATAGGAAGAGTTACGAGTTGGGAATGACTCCCAGCTCCTACAAACCCCAAGAGCCGAGGTACAGTGATGTGGAACAGTCCCACACTGTCCCCAACCACGAAGGGTCTCGAAACTACCCTTCACAAGGGCCTACACCAAGTGAAATGTTACACTACACAAAGTAATGTAACTATTCTCAATATCTTGAGGTGTACCCTTTTCGCGAGCTTCGCGATCACTTGAATCTTGATACCAAGGCTCTGGTTCTTCACCATAAACTCATCCTTGAGTTCTTGATGGGTCTTCTGCACACACCTGCGACACGCCGAACGTTCCACACACGACAAAATGGAAACCGCGCGACACACACAAACGACAAGATAGAAACCGTGCGAGACACACAAACGACGACGTAGACACGCGACTAGCGATGACTCGCTATTGACTCGACACACACACATTCGACATCACGACTCATCATTCACACACTATTATAAGCATGAAATATCTATTATCCCATGCTCTCATACCATTCCATGCACACACGCATGCACGCACACGGACAACAAGCCGAGTGCAAACCATAGGGTTGCACCAACAAACTCCCCCTCGGATTGTTGGCCTTAGGATCTGCTCCTCTCAGTTCAGAGCCATCCCAGCCAGCTTGCAGCACTTCCAATGTTGCTGCTCCACTAGCCTCTTAGTCATCATGTCAGCCGGCTGCCCCGTCGTCTTCACGTAACGCAACTCAACTTCACCCGCGGCCACCATGCTCCTCGTCCAATGCCACTTCACCCTCATGTGCTTGGTGAGGCCATGCAACACATGGTTCTTAGCAAGAGCAATGGCACCCTGGCTGTCACAGAAGAGTGGGGTAGGTCCTTGCTGCTCCTCCCCCAATTCAGCCAACAAACGCCGCTGCCATACAATCTCTCTTACGGCACGGAAGAGTGCCATGTACTCGGACTCCACCGAGCTCAATGCTTGGTCCACCTGCTTCTTGCTCTCCCAAGCAGTTGGGCCTCCACCAACACAGCAAATGAACCATCCAACACTTGTCATGTCCTCTGGTTCTGATGCATGTGAAGCATCCGAGTAGGCGGTGAGGAACAAACGCCCGGGCTCTACACCATCCGCGCCCTTTTGACGCCTTTGCGCCGCTGCCGAATATTGCAGCCCAACGGTCGGTGTTTGGCCAAGATACTTGGCCACCCTCATTCCAGCTGCTACCTGCTCCTCATTAGGGCATTGCACAACCCTAACCAGCTGCCCGGTAGCAAAGGCCACGTCCGGCCGAGTGTTTACCGCCGCATACATGAGGCTGCCCACCAACGAGTGAAAACGGCGCCTCTCCTCTTCACCAACGCTCTCCTCCTCTGGTCCCTTCACACACTTGAACCCAGATGGAAAGGGTGTAGCCACATGAACTTCACTCTGCCCAAAGTTGGCAGCCAACGCCTCTAAGTACTTCCGTTGGTGCACCCGCATGCACCGCTTCTCCACGTCGCGTTCGATGTGGAGCCCGAGGTAGAAGTTCACGTCGCCAAGTGCCTTGCACTTGAACTTGTCCTGAAGCTTTAGCATCACCTCCTTCACAAGGTCAGAGGAGGGTGAGAAGATGAGGATGTCATCCACGTACACCACCATGAAGCTCCTCTGCTCCCCCTCGCCACGCATGAACAAGGAGTGATCGGCCGTTGAGGGAGTGAAGCCGATCTCCTCCAAAACTTCTCGCAGCTTCAAGTACCATTGCCTAGGGGCCTGTTTCAGCCCATAGAGGGCCTTCTTCAGCTTCAAAACTCTGCCACTACCATCATTAAACCCCTCTGGCTGCGCCAAGAAAATATCTTCTTCAAGGATGCCGTTGAGGAACGCGGTTGTCACGTCCATCTGCTTCACCACCCATCCTTTGATGGCAGCCCCCGCGAGTAGGGTCCGCAGCGTTGTCGGCTTCACCACAGGAGAAAACAGCTCCTTGAAGTCCACCTTCTCCTTCTGCTGGTACCCCTTGGCTACAAGCCTAGACTTGTAGTGCTCGATCTTGCCGTCGGCGTCCGACTTGATCTTGAAGAGCCACTTGGACGTAATCGCCTTACGCCCCTCCGGTAGCTCCACGAATTCCCACGTGTCGTTCTCCTCAATACTCTTCAGCTCACTCTCCATGGCCTTCTTCCACTCCTCAGCATCACTACTCTCCAAGGCCTCCTTGAGAGTTGCTGGTTCCCCCGGCATCTCCACCGGAGAGAAGAACACGAACGCACATTCCTCGTAGTCACTTTCCTCGTCATCTCCAACCATCATTGCCGCTCCGGCCAGGGCTGACTTGCCCTGCTTTCCTGGTGCATCATAGGTCAACCTATTAGGGGCTTGAACTCTCCTCTTGCCCCTTCCTTCCTCCTCAGCTGCAGGGACTTGAAGGCCTTGGCGTTGCTGAGGGGTGGCTCGGATCTGTGGAGCACTTGTAGCGCGTGAAGGAAGTGTCGGTGCACGCTCGCTCACTTGCTGCACCTCCTCCTCTTCTTCCTCTGCACCCTTGGCCTCCTCTCCCCCATTCACAAGGGAAGATTGCCTTGTGGTAGTGCTGCCGCTGCTCAGCTCCAAAGGCAGCTCCACGTGCTCCAGGCCGGAACTCTTCACCTCCCCAAACCGCATGCCTATCTTTGCCTCGTTCTCCGCCTTCCAATCCTTGTACATCAGGTTCTCCATGAACTTGCAATCCCTGCTAACCAAGAATTTCTTGCTGAATGGGTCCCAAAGAAGCCACCCTTTGCTGTTTTGAGCCATGCTCAAGTGCACCGCCCATATCGCCTTGGCACCAAGCTTGTTGTGCCGAAGATGCTTAGGCACGAGCGCCATGCACATGCACCCGAACACCCGAAACATATCCACCTTGGGCTTCCTTCCAATCCACTCCACATAGGGCACCCATTTGTCTGCTCCCACATGAGTCAAAGCTCTGTTCTTGGCCACACACGCGCTTCGCGCCGCATCAGGCCAGAAGTAGTCGAGTAGCCCGGCTTCAATGAGCAACCCGCATGCCGTCTCCGTGATTGTGCGGTTCGCTCGCTCGGCAATGCCGTTCATTGAGGGGAGTATGGCATGGTGAGGGAGTGCCTTATCCCATTCTTCTTCAGCCACAGTCCGAACTCCTTGCTCAGGAACTCTCCCCCTCAATCGGTGCGGATTGACTTGACTAGCCGGTCTTGTTGCCGCTCCACCATCGGCAACCAATCGGTCTTCACCGTTTCCGCCACGTCGCTTTTCTTGGACAGCACATACACCCAAGTCATGTGGGTGTAGACGTCGACAATGGTGAGGAAGTACTCTGCTCCAGCAGCTCCAAGCTTCAGGGGGCCCACCACGTCCATCACCACCTCATCAAGTGGTGCCTTAGCCGTTGCCTCCGAAGTCGAGAACGGGAAACAGGAGAACTTGGCTTGCATGCACGTCGGGCAGCCAAGTACCTCATCGGGCTCCCCCTTCACA